TGACTTTCCCCGATTCGTTCTCAATCACCCCCCACCAAAGTCACCGCACGCTTTAGGGGGTCTGTTAAACCTCAATGGGCTCAGGGGAGGCGAGAGAGGCGCGGACTCCCGCTGTAACTTTACCTGCCTGTGTCGCTTTATCTACCGTTAACACCTCCAACAACCCACCTCTCCCCCCTTCTGCACTTCAGATCAGTGAAGATGATGTGCGTCAGGTCTTCCGGAAGCAGAAGAGACGGAAAGCACCAGGCCCAGACGGTGTCACACAAGCCTGTCTGAAAACCTGTTCTGACCAGATGGCCTCCATCTTCTCACAGATCTAGCAAAACGAGTTGCGTGGTGTCCCCACCACTTTTCAAAGCAAAGTTACGCCACTGATGAATGTTAATCGCAGGCGTGGGACATCTTGACTAACAAGATGTATGCAAATGCAATACAGAAAGATGAATATTATGTTTCATTACACTAGGTAAGTAAGTTCCATCATCTTAAAAATTCCACCATGGACCACCACTGGTAATGTTGATTTTTTATTTTATTTATTTATTTATTTATTTTTCTGCAAGAAAGGTTCTTAAAATATAGTTGGTATCCTATTTTATCAGTAATACATGCTGTTTGTGATCAGATTTTCAAAAGATATGGCCATTTTATCTTATGGCCATTCAAGCCATTTTAGCTTAAAATGTTCTCAGCGTTACTCATCATAATTGCATTTTTACTAGTAAGAATTAGAGAGCTCTACAATTAAATTCTTACTAGTAACAATGCCAGTTAGAGAGCCCTCTAATTCAATTATTACTAGTAAGAATTCCAATTAGAGAGCTCTACAAATGAATTTTCATGAGTCATATATCTCCATTGACTTCCATTCCTTTTTAAAGCTCTACTATTGAATACCTTATAGTCTATGTAATATAAGTTATTTTTAAAGGTGAATTCACACTTGCATAGAAAAGATGCAAATACAAGTAATATGCATATTTATTTATTGGTTGTAAAATACAAAATACCTATTTTTCTTCAGCACTGCAAGGGTATTATTTGCACTATCCAATCACAAAATAATTCTGAGGCTGGGTCCTGTTACATAGTAATTTTGGCTAAGAGTTTGATAATTTCGTAATTGTTGTTTCAACAGTATGCCATCTGACATTGAGCATGTCACTCTTGTTACATTATAGTCCTCCACGTCCGCTGCATTCTCAAAACTCTGGCAATTTGATAATACCTAGAATATCAAAATCAACTGCGGGTGGCAGATCCTTTTCCTATTTAGCGCCCAAACTCTGGCTATATAAATAAAGGTGACTTGACTTGACTTGACTTGACTCACTTTGCAAAAAAAAAAAAGTCTTGAAAGTCCAAAAACATTTATCTCATTATAAGATAAGGCCTACACTGTAAAAAATTTAACGGTAAAAGACTGTAAAAATGCTACAGTAATTATTTAAAAGCTGCTTGTGATGGGCTTTGGTTCATCATGTGACTTTCTTATCACCACCTGCATTTGGTGGTAATCAGTGTATTACAAAGATACAAAACAGATTTCAGATTTTCAGATAAAATTTTATCAGTTAATGAAATTACGGTATTTAACTGTAAATTTAAGTTAAACCCGTAAAACCTCAAACATTGCTACCGTGTTTTTTACGGTAAAATTCCGGCAACCACAGCTGCTGTTTTTTTACCATAAATTTTACGGATTTTTTTTTACAGTGTATTAGAATGCAATTAGAATGCAAATCTGTTTTGCATCAAATGTATGTATGTTTTCACTAGTAAAAATACGCCTTACATGAGCAAATACACAGCTTCACATCTACTATTTTGTAATTTGGCCAGAGAACTTTTACTGTTAAGTAGGCTAGGTAGGGTGACCATACATCCTCTTTTTGGACCTAAAAAAATGCGTCCGGCTGGGATTTCTAAATCGCCCAAAATGTCCGGGATTCGGCTTTTGCTTTCTACAGTTGCCATTCATTGTGTGCGTATGTGCCCTCATATGTTGCCGCTGATAGCCTTGTGGTTAGTGCATCTACAGCACAACTGCACTCACGGCGACACAAGTTCAATCCCCATCTCGAGGTCCTTTGCCAATCCTGTTCCTCTTTCTCCACCCAATGCTTTCGTGTTGTCTCTCTACTCTCCTATCCTAATAAAAGCCCATAAAAATAACTTTAAAAACAAAAACATGTCCTCATATTTAAACTAAAGCAAAAGATTAACAGAAGTCAAAATTGATTATACAGTATTTTTTTATTTTGCCATTTCAGATTGCTTAGTTATGTGTTACTACCGATAAACAATGGAAAACCGTGATTCAGACCAATTAATGGCTAAAGGGGATATTTGTTAAAAGTTAAAACCATTGTTTATGGTGTTTCCAGTACTTCTATGTTTTGAGGTCTTTGACAAATTTGGACTGTAGCGGTTTTTATATTTAAATTACTGATCATTATCTGATGGAAAAAGTGGATTTGTTGGTGTCTGGAGGATTTGTTGCACACCCTAGGAAAAAAATATTACAATCTCAGAAATGATGACTTCTTTTTTCCTTTCCCTTTTCGTCCTGGCTTGATTGCAGAGATGCAGCAGAGAAATACAGCCCAATAATCTACTGCATGTGGATTTATTAACCCCAGAGGACACCGGATTGGAGTTGAGGAGTTCCTGTTTTCAGTATGTCTGCCCTGCTGGATCATTAAATTGGATCAGATGCATTTGTGGTGTTTCTCTGTCATTGATTTTATCTCCTAACAAGCTGTCTATTTTTTATTTGTATTTTATTGTATTCTAATTTATTCTTATGGTACAATCTGTGGCTTTTAATTTGCTTTATAAATAAATCTTGATTTGAATTTGGGGTTTGGTTTGTACTGCTCCTGCGTTTTTCTTCCTGTTCCCCTGCTTTCTAGAGTTTTGTTTTGTTTAATAAAGAGATAATAAATGCATTTAGATCATTACCTCGAATCTCCTTGTGTGTGTGCTTGCACCAACCTGTGACAACTGTGTCCAACTCCCTTCAGCTATGCTGTTGCATATAAATATTTCAAATGGCAAACACTCCAAACGTGGGAAGAAACAGCATTACTCATTTGTGAACAGAGCGTTTAGCAGCTCAGGACTATAGACAGGGCAGCATTGTTTATACCAGGTAATAAAGACGGAGGCTTTAAGTTATGGAATACAAGAGGCATTCAGATAAATATGGATTTATAAGAAGATGGAGTTTTACTTTTCTTTGATCATTTATACCAGAAATATTTTTTTATTTTATTTTTTATATTTACAGTTAAAAAGTTACATGTCATCAAAAGAGGAACAGATAAGTTGTATAGCATCTTTTCAAAATTAGAGGAAATAACTTGGAAACTTAGAAGGAAGGGGGCGTATATCATTAAATAATGGTCAAATACAATACTGAATCAACATTGGATAAATTAAATGCCTGGAAAATGGATATGCAAGAAGATAGATGAAATAGACTGGAATGATGCATGTTTAAAAAGCACAAACACAGACAATAGATACTAGGTTTAAATTACTTCAATATAAATGGTTAATGAGAACCTACATAACTCCTGTTAAGCTTCGTCATATATATGTTAACATCCCAGATGTGTGCTCTACATGTTTGGATGAAAAACATTTGTCTATGTGTTATTATTTATTTATTTCCATTTATGTAGAGTATAATTTAGTCTGTGTTATTGTTTTTATTTTATTTATTTAAGTATACATTCAATATGTATGAATGTATGGAAGGGTGAGTGCCTGTGCACCTGTTCTGGTGTTCTATTGTTACTGTATGGCTAGTTGTTGTGGGGTCATAAAAAAGTCAATTTAAAAAAATTGTCAGAAAAATTATATGGTCAGAACATTACCGTTTTTAAAGATTTTACAGAGGTTACTATTGTTAATATAAGTAATAATAATAATAATAAGTTTTATTTATATAGCACCGCTTTACAATGTACGTTCAACAAGAAAAGAATAACACTGAAAGGGTAGACAATGATGACAAACAATAGTTAGTAGAAACAGTAAAAGAGCATAATATAGACGGGGCAATATATAGCAGAAAAAAATCAAGCACAACAAATACAAAACTTAAGGATGATAAGTAAATTTATATCTGCATCCCAAATCAAACTCAGTTCCTTATACCATCAACATGAGACAAGTTATGTAATATTATTAATAAATACACATTGTGAAATACAAGCAATCAATTTAATCCTCCTATTTAATCCTCCTATCCATCAGCAAGCAGAATTTTCTGCTCTGGGTGACATGAGGGTAAAGGAGATAAACAACATCAATACTTCATGATGGATGACTGTTCTCTGCCTTGTGACATCACACTTCTGGTGTGGCCTCATCTAGATGAGCAAAATTGTTACAGTTACAGTAGCACCAATCCATCTAAATTATGTAGATGAAGCAGGTGAAACTGAGTACTGACTATCTGTCCTTAGGCTTTTGTCACATAAGTGCTACACAGCAAAATCCCTGGGGCCTCATTTATAAAATGTGCGCTAAAATCCACGGCAACGTTCATATTTATAAAAACGGTCTTTGACGTGGAAAAGTACTTACCGCCACGTCAGGGTCTGAGTAGACGTATAGTTTGCGGACCAGTGTTGCCAAATCCGCGATTGCCGCCGGTTGTTTTTTATGTCAGCAGGTTGAAGCGACCCCAATAACGTGATATTTAGGCCCTGGAATGTGAATTGTACCAGGAGAACCCCGCCAAAAAAATGTGTATTTTACCCCCGAACGCGATTTTTACTGGGGGACCCCCTCGAAAGCAATTGGGCAATTTTCAGGCTAGTTTTGAGTAGTAATTGAGCTGGATTTGTAGTGAAAACCTGGCAACCCTGCACTAGACAGAGCTGTCGGCGATTCTTCCTATTGTGAAGTCATGCAATGTGAAATTCCCTGTCACCGATCCATCGTGCAGTGTGAACACAGCAGCAACTGAATGCTACCCCAGATAGTCACGCAGTGTGAAAACAACGGCGATCCGACGAGTTTGAAAATCGTGCAGTGTGAACTCGGCATAAGCTGCAATAATAATAAAAGCACCGAATTCATCATAAACAACAAAGATGCAGTGTGAGAGATTAATTGTACAGAGTAGTCAGATTTTTTATTGACAGGAGTTTTTGCGAGATTAAACTGACCTTTTTAGTAGCCTAATGTTGAGAGTTCTTTACTCGCTTTCTGTAGTTTATTCCATGTTGTTTTTTATTATTTTATTTTACAAGAGAACTTGTGAAGTCATGATTTACTACTAATGCGTAAAATAGAAAAAAAAATGCATAAATACATCTCCCACTGTTTTGTCTGTGTAGCCTGTAAGAATAGGCCTATGTCG